CACTTCTCCTCTTGATAAATTCTCCTGTTTTGCAATATTATTGGGTGCCCATATAGATTTGTAAATACCTTCACTTCCATTTAATGTGAGATTATTTTCTACTTTGTTCTCTTTTTCATTTAGTTTTTCTTTTTTCTTAACTAAACCTATCCATTCTTTGACTTCTTGTGCTGCATGATCTTCTTGCCCTATATAATAATGTCACTTTAGTTTCTGCACTTTCAGTCTTATCATTCTTCAGAATTTCAATTTCACTTTCATTCAGGTTCATTTCTGCTAATCTCGTTAGTTAATACTGCTTCTTCTTTTTTCCTAGAAATTGGGTCTTTCTCATTATCTGCAACTTCACGTTTCCTCTTAAGATTTTTTTTTCGAATGCTTGTTTTTTTTTTCTTGCATATCGAGCTCCATTTTGGTTGAGGTACAAATCATTTCTAATTTCTTTTGCTCACTCAGCTTGAGTTGTTCTTTCTTCATGCTTGTTGTTACCTCAACAACTTTGCCAATTAGCACCTTTTCTTCGAGCAATAGTTTCTTATCTTGGTCAAATTTACTTAAAACCTAATTATATGTTTCTAATGCACTACGGATTGTTGTTATAAATTCTGGGTTTTGATATCCAAGATACTTCGCTACGTGTCGATTTATATTTAAAGTGAATATACTATGCTCTGCATATACTTCTTGATGCTTATTTTCTGTCGCCAGTGCAAAATCTTTTATTAGCATTAAATTCATATGTTCGCTAATTTATATATTATACTTGTATTGGAAGTATGTTGTATAATTTTCTTTCCGAAGTTTCTAGAATAAATGTTTATTTTGTTATATATAAACACGTGATAGTGAACGCGTAGTTGTTTGTTTTGTTTATTAACACAAGTGTTTGTTTTGTTGCTTGATTTTCTAAAAATATTAGTTTTGTTTGTTGTTCGCCTAATTTGTACGCATCTGTTTTTTTCTGTGATGATCGATCTGCAGAACAAGATAAACACAAATTCCCCAAAATACTAGAAATTTTTCTAAAAATTTTTCTAAAAATTTCAATATTTCTAAATATTATAAGCCCTGGTTGTTAAAGAGCAAAACTGTTCTAAGTAACTGTAGTTAAATTTCCTTGCTCTATCTTTTTTCCTAAGACTAATTTAGTTGTTAGTTTAGTACTGTAGTGACTTTTTTACAGAGTTTCTTTAGCTCCGAATTTGGACAGAGTGATCGACAGAAAGAGTTTTTTGCTTGCCAATAATGAATTTATATATAACCTAAAACTAGAAATCGTTGAAATAAACAAAGATTTGACATTTTTAATATTAACAGAAGTAGTGGTGAATAGAAATGATATTGTTAGGTTTATTGTCGAACATGTTTTTTCTACATAGAAATAAAATTTAAAATAAAGGTTTTGATTTTACTAAATTGCCCAAAAAAACTCTCTTATCACATTTGATGCGATATTCGTTACATAACATATGCCCATGTATGTATTGGTGAATATTAGAGAGAGTTAAAATTGGTAAAACAATGTTGTTTTTGTCACATGTAGAAATACCACAACAATTATGAATAACGAAAGTAGGATTACAAAATCTCATATTTTTACATTTCTCATATTCATCTTTTCCAATAAGTTCTATATCGCCCACATATTTTTTGAATATATATTCCTTCGAATATGGTGCATAACAGAAATATCTACCAGTAGTTGATTTATATAGTACCTTTTTAAAATCAGTTTTAACACATTGTATCTTTTTCATTTTACAACTCATATATTGCGATTTGCTGTCACAGTCGATCTTAAGAACTTTACAGTTTTTACATCTGTTATATATTTTGTTGAACAAAACATATTTGCGTTTCTTTTTATATAAAATTTTTCAAATTTTATAGATTCTCTGTTAAACGTATGATGTCCATTTTGAAAAATATAAGGGTGTGTTGGATTGGTAAACAGAAATTGATAATTCGTAGAATCAAACTCCAGATGAGTATAGATGGCATGTAATTTTTTGCAGGATAGACCCAGGTGAAATTGATCTATTTCCTTTCTTAAGAATTTAAAGATTAAAAATAAAATCTCAGTTGAGAATATTAATAATGATAACAAGGAGGAAGTCATGTTTGAACGAATTATTTTTTATTCGGTACTAAACGTACTAAATAAAATTTATTATAAGATTTATTATAGATTAGATATATTTATGTACAAATAGCTAATTTTGCGTAAAACATTCAGTTATTTTTTTCTGTTGTTTGTGGGAGATAAAAGAAGATAAGAGATCTAATAGATGTTTTTTATTTTCTGATAGAGACGAAGAGAAATAGTTTGTTACCAAGAGTTGTTTTTTATTTTTATCTGCAACGTAGATTTCTTTGATTGTTTCTAAAGCTTGTTTAGTATCACACAAGAGAAGTAATGCGCAGATATCAGTGAAACTGTTGAAATAGTACATGATATCGATTACTTTATCTGGAGTATATTCTTTTACCAAGCACATTTTTTGGAAAATATCTAGTTTTTTTTGCATATGATACAAAATGTAGTATTCGAAGCGACCAGGAACTAATTTTTTGCCAGTTTTTTCGTATTGTTTAGCAAAATTAAGAACTATGGTATTTCCTTTTTTGGGTTTTTTCTCAGATGTTGTATTGTCGGAAGTTTGTTTTTTTGATCTGTGCATGTTAATGAATTCGCGAAGAGTAATTATTTTTTTCCTATAGGTTGGATCATATTTCGCTGTCAATTTGAATAGTTCTAAATTTAGCGTTGTTGCAGAAGTATATCTAGAAATCACGTCTCGAGCTATTTCTTTTGGTAATTTTAATTCTGAATCCAATAATTGTTTTTAATCATTAAACCCTAAACACGACCAAATAAGATCTGTGGCAACTGTCTTATAGAATAGAGATACATTGCGCTTTACAATTTTTAAACCTTTTATTAAGAGTTTTGGATTCATAAAATTAGATGCATTTTCATGAACTATGCTACCATATTGTTTTTTGTGGAGAAAAAGAGAAGGATGAAGAACTTTTTTATATGCCATGGTAATAAAAAGAAGACCAGTTTCTTGCTCTATAAAAGAGTTGACCACAGGTGTGATTTGTTTTGTGAATTCTATAGATTTTTTTATAGATTCCGAATAGTGAAGTTGTTTGTTATGAGAATAGAGAGAGTCGATTTCAGAGAAATGAGTTTCTGGAATTGTAAAGAAGACCGAATTGGTATCACTATATATGATATTGCATTGTTTTGATTCCAAGAAAGTAATTACTTTTTTAATAGTTTCACGTGAGAATGCAGTGACGGATGATGCAATTGTCTTTCGATAGAATGGAAAAAAGAGATAACCAGTTTCACCATAAACAGAATTAGCCATAATTTTGATCTTGATATAAAATATGATAGGTTTACAGGATCATCTGCATAGATTTTCATAGATTTTTTGGCTTCGGCTCGAGCTTCCAATAATTTTTTACATATTAGAGGTATCAAACCCATTTCATTCTCGCAGTTATAGTGAGATTTGAATTGTGTTATAATCTGATCATTATCATAAATCGTATTTACAGACAGATCCCTTGTTAAAATGGGTATCTCCATTTCGAGATATATGTTTATCGTGATAATGGAATTTGAATACATTGACGTAAAGTCGAGATCGGGAACTGGGCGATTTTTTTTATTTTTTCATGGAACAAGCACCAGACCTCTCTGATATTTTTTCACAATTTCAACTACACCCTTGCGATTCATCAAAATTAAAATATTACGTTGAGAAGCAAATCATCTATAAAGATTACGAACCAAACATCCAACTCCATTTATAAAACATTTGAGATTGTTGTACATGATAATGATGCGAGTTGAAAATAATCTTGTAAAATATTTCGTTTTATCATCAATTCTTGATATCAAAGCGAATTGGTTGCACAGTAATATATGATGTCTGCAGCATAGTGTTCAAGTTGATTTTAGAGACCAAAAAATGATTCATACATGATTCGTAGTCAACATTTCGCAAAGACACCAACTGGGATGAAAAATCCTGAATTTTTGCAGGATCATCCTTGAATTTTATCGCATTTACGTAGATAAACATTGATTTGAAATCTGATTTAGTGGGAAGATACGATAAATCAATCTTGTCTTGCAAACCACAACGTACAAAAACATTATTAAGAGTATTTTTAAGCTCGGTTGGAAATGTTTTTTTAGCCCAGACCAGAAGATTTAAGAATATGGTACCAGAGATATAATAATATTCACATATTATTTTTTCTGTAGGATTAACTTTTATAGAATGGTTATTAATATTAATCCCCGCAAATTCATATTTTCTCATAACTTCATCCAAATCTCGTTCTTTATATCGAACCTCAGTTTCACGAATATTTATCATAACATCATCGGTCGTTTCAAGAAGAATATTATTAAATTGTTTCGTTATATTATATTGTTCCACTTTTGATAGTATAAAATTCCAATCGTAACCTCCTGTATTATAGCCAAATTCAAAATCAGGTTTAAAATTATGAAAAATTCTCGCAAAATTCAACAGAAGCGAAATTTCCGAATCACAAATTATAAAATGAAAATTAGAAGAGGGACAATCAGAATATTTAGAAAAAAATAGTTGTTGATTAATCAGCAACGTTGTGATGCAGTAGCGTTAAAATGGAGTTTGTTCAAAGATTCAATAAAAATCCATCTGAATCACATACACGTAAGAAGTAGTTTCATAGCCAAAAGGAAAAAAACCGAGACCTCAAGTATTCGATGATTCGATATCCCAAGATAACGATAATAAACGTGGTAATGATACACGTTCTTTAACTTTTCTATATCTGATAGGGTTAATCGCATATTATTAATCACATTTTTGTTTTTGAGTTTATACCAACCGACAAGTTCGAAATCATTTTTACGCGCAACCTTTTGATAATAACATGAAAAGTCATCCAAATAGATATTGTATAACTTCCACCAATCATATTTTTGTTATCATTATCAAGAATGAATTTTAACTTAGAGTTAGTTTTATATTTTATTTTTTTTTAAAGCATTTTGTCGTTCCGTATGATTCAAAAAATATACACGCATGAAATCAAACTTTGCTCCCAAGTCGAACAGCTGAACAGATTTAATTGGTAGATCGCAGTTAAAGGGTACACAATGATCAACATTTTATAATAAACAAAATCGGAAATCTATATGTTTTTTCTATAGTACAGGAATGTGGTTTGCTTATATATAAAAGTTTTTTTTTTATTAAATAAATTTTTTTTTGTTTTAACAAAAGTTGTAAAGCTAATTTTTCTGCTTCTAATGGTAGTAAAATCATCAAAATCGGGTTAATAGATCATGAGTTATAAGTATTTTAAAATTGTTTACTATAGGGTTTTTTCATAAGAATGGAAGCACATGGCATTCCACTTACTATATAAGGTAATTAGTCACATGCCCGCCGATTTTTACTATAAAATTTGTACCCTTTAACTGCGAACTACTAATTAAGTATTTCATAGTAACTAGGAAATATTTTTTTATCCGCCAAATCATTGAGATAAAATGTAAAATTGTATATACTATTGAGTTTGATATCAAAAAATGGATAACCGACATCGAAATTGAGATTCAACTTGGTACCATTTTCATGAACAGCATTGATCGATAATATGTATTTTTTTTGTTTTGTAAATAAATCTGTCGCGTTGTAGATAGAAAAATATGATGAATCTGATTGGATAATAGAATCTTGACGTGTGATATTCATTTTGAAGACATGTGAATCAATTTTTAGTTGGTGTAAAATACACTAACTAAATAAATACAGCTGTAAAAGAATAAAAAAAAGAATAAAAGAATAAAAAAAATAAAGATTTATTGATTCAAAACAAAAAAAATATTAATATATTCGTTTTTATTACATTCAGTTGATATTTTAATATACTCAGGATAAAGCCTGTCGATATGCTGATCGTAGAAATCACGAATTTTGTAAAGATATTCGCTATCAACTTTCTCGTAAATGCGCTTCTGTTGGAATCATATCTTTTGATGATCAATCATTATTTTCTTTTCACAGTTAAGATAAAAGATTTTTTCAACATTTTTAATAGGGGAGATACTGTCACACACTTCTTTAAAATATTCTAAGAAGTCACTATCTGTGATGTTAGTGAGGGTAAAAATTTCTGTGTTGAGATGTGTACGATCAAGAATTATATAATCATAATTGGACAATCTGTTGATCTCTTTTACTTTTTTCTTATAGTAATTGAGAATAACATATTGAAAAAATGTAGCATTTTTTTCAACATCCTTATAAAAGAGTTTAAACTCACGCTCAATATCAAGAGATGCTTCAACATATTGAAGAACCGTAAATTTTTGTAATTGAAGATATTCAGCTAATTTATCTGAACACGTGGTTTTACCAACAGCTATTGGACCAGTAAAAATAATGATTTTTGGCTGTTCTGTTTTAGATTTCTTGGTGACAACTTGGATTTGTTCCAGATATTTACATTTTAACTGTCTCAATGTTTCTTGTTCAATTTTTCTTCCATATTCAGGTTCAAACTCTTTTTCAACTTGAAGATTTGTCACATCATAATTATTTTAAAAACGAAAACATTCTTCTTGTGATGAGAAAGAGTCAGATTTTTTATATTTATTATTATGTAAAATATTTTTTAATTTTTTAATATAAGATTCTAAATTTGCAAAGTAAGTTACAAATTTTTTGTTCATGATTGGTTAAAAAAAAAAGAGGTAGACACGTAATTAGAAAACTATTCTGTCAAATTTAACTGAATAGTTAATAAGGATTATAGCGTTTCCTGATTACAATTTTTTTAATATAAACATTTTGACTTCTAACTTCATTATAAACAAAATTATCAGCCAAAAAATCAAAAAGTTCCAACTGAGATTAATAAAAATCTTCTTTACAACATTCTTCTTTAATAATGTTGCAAATCTCGGTTTCATTACAAATTTTAATAAATTGTTCAGATGAAGCGATCTATTTGTTCGCCTTATGTGTAACAAAATTTTTTGTTTTCGTTTTTTCTCATTATATACGATGAATCCGATAGGATTGAAGTAACGAGAAATTGACGATTCAAAATCTTTTACAATATTAACTGTAATTGGAAATTTAACATTTTTGCATTGAATCAAAATAGTATGTTTCTTGTAAGTAGCGATAATATCAATACCACCATCACCCTGAACATGTTATTCTAAACAGAATCGACAATATATCTCCAATTGACACCTCTAGCTCTGAAGCATAATTTTTTTAATCATTTTATTTAATTATTTTATTAATATATATTTTTATTTTTTTTAATAAATTTATTAAATCTGTTCAGTATGTCAACATACCGAACAGACTTTTATTTGTATAAATATCTTCTGACTGGCAAAAAAAATTCAAAAACTTCGAAATTATTACTGATTGGGAAAGGTACAAAAATCCTGATAACTCAAGACGAAAATTGAACGAATATCATCTTATCAAGATTGATTTCAAACTTTATCTAGAAGTCAAAGCATCAAATTCAGATTTGACATTTTTAACTGATATTAATAATTTCAATTTGATTCAAAATTACACATGGTGTTCTGTGAAAGACAGAAACATATATTATATTATTACATGTATAAAAAACACAACGAAAACGTTTCATAGAATGATTCATCCAGAATAGAAAATTACAGATCATATCAACCGTAATGGACTTGATAATCGTAAGTGTAATCTTAGAGAAACAACACCAAGAGAAAATGCTTTAAATTGCAAATTATTTAAAAATAATTCTTCTGGATATAATGGTATTTATTATTGTAAAAAAAAGAAAAGCTGGATTTTTCAATATAATGAAAATAAAAAGCATAAATTTAAATAGTTTTATGTTAATAAAAAACGAACATACGAACAAGCAAAAAATCAATGTATAGATTTTAAACTAACTCATGATAAAATGACCGGAAATCTTAATGGTTATGTAATCCAATAAAATCTAATCTATTCTGTACAATAGTACAGAATAGAATTTTAATTACGTAATTATAACAACTACTAATATTATCCTCAAAACACCTGATAAAAAGGTAAGATGTGCATCATTTTACTTAGCATACATGAGATTCTGAAGTTACGCTGCCATACCGAATTAGGAAATATTTATGAATTCATCTCTTTTGATGGTGATGAATATTTTTATTAATTTGGGAGAAACTGAAAGAACTCAGGTTTTTTGCAAACATTGGTGAATAAGAATCTTTTGCTAATATTATTTTATTCATCTCAGATCTCTAACTACAAATCCGGGCATGAATTTGAAGGTGCGGTTCGAAGATTGCTTG